CCTTCCCCAGCTCCCCCTCCCTGTGCCGTCTCCGCCCGAGCTGGGACGCTGGCCTACACAGCCTGGGCCGCATCCCGAGGCCTGGAACAGCGCCCTGCCCCCCAGCACACATACCCACCCTCTCCAGCCTGTCCTCCAAGGGGTTTGCTCCTGGCTTCTAACCTCTGTCCTGGACCCTAAGGCTTCACTCCCCTGTCATCCCTGACAGTCGTTCCCAGCTGTCTTCATAACCTCTCTCCTTGTCTTCAGTCCCTCCATTCCTGCCATCAGCCTCCTTACTTCCCTCCTCACTCCTTCAACTGTACCCACAAACACCTCTTGGGGTCCTGTCCCCTCATCACTTGTCATCATTATCCCTCACCTGTTTCTATCTTATGCAACCCTCTCTTCTGATCCTGTCACCCCTTGTTCCTTGCATTCCCCTCTGCCCCCTTCCACATCTCTTTTCATGTGTTCCCAGTACCCCTCACCAATCTCCTTCACCTCTTCTTACCTGGGCTCTCAGATTCCCCCACACACCTGGCTCACACCTTGCATAGGTGCACATCAACACCTATATGCACGTGCCATGATGAACTCCTAACCACTTAGTATACTGCCACCCCCCACATGACTGGCCCATACTCTTATACATGCACACTCCCTGACAGATAATCATAAAAACCTCCTCCACAAGCCCTACCTCACTACACACCCATGCCTCCACACATCAAAGTGTCCTGAGGTGGCAGTCATGGGGCAGCCAGGTTCCTCGTGTTCGTGTCATCCAACCCTAGCCTGGGCTAAGTGCAGTCCTCTGAGGTAGAGAGTGGGAAGGATGGTGGGCAAAGGCAAGAAACCCTCATTTATTCTCCTATCTCCACTCCCCCTTTTCCCACCTCACCTCTTCCTTCTATGCTTGCCCATTTATAAAATGGGAGCAGGACTCACATCTCCCTCATCAATCTATAGAATCCACCATCACAGGACTGGAAAGCCCACTGGAGATCACCCTGTCTAACTCCTTAAGGTTCCCTCCCTACTGGTTGAATTGCTTCAATCTTGTCCTTAACCTGCCTCCACCTTTATTCCAGAATCCCCACCCCTACCTCTCCCTTCATCCTGCCACTGTCCTCATTACCCTCCGAATTCCTGATTCCCCATAACTGCTTGGTAGAAGGAAAGCAGAGGCCTATGTGATACTCCACGATTCTGATATTCTGAAGTTGTGTGGCTTGGAGGAAACAGTCAGCTGAGTCATTTGAAGAAAGACAGAAAGAGTGACAGTGTCCCTTTCCATGAAGATCTTATCTTTACATGTCCCTGGCAGCATGCTGTAACCTGTTGAAGGTTGTTTCCACTCCTTCACTATCCCACACTGCTCCTGTACCAGGATGGCCAGACACAGGAGCCCTGGGGAGTTAGTCCATCCCAAGGAAAGAGAGGCTCATGGAGTTCCCACCCCATCCAGAGGTATCTTAGGAACTTTCCTCCTTTTAACTTCCCCCACCAAACCTGGCCTAACTTCCTTTCCTCTGTGACTCTCCAGGATCTCTATGAGGGCAGAGCCAAGTGCTTATAAAAAGTGTAGGGAGAAAGAAGAAAAGATCCTGGTTCCCTCTCTGTACTGGGTTGGCAGAGAGCTCAAAAAGCCTCTCTTTTGACCCCTGCCTACACACAGGCAATCACACAGACAGACACAAAGACACAAACACACAGATGCACGCAGGACACACAAAGACATACACGTGTACACTCACACAGAGGGATACACAAAGAGACACACACCTGCCCACACTGACATTTCTCTGGATAACACTGGCTGGCTTTCCCAGCCCTCACTTGGAACACTCCCCTGTTATCAAGCTTCTACCTATCCAAATGTGGCAAGAGCTGTGTTTCTTTTTGTCAGTTCCTGAACAGACACAGAAAGGTGTGGTCAGAGGCTCTCTCACCCCATGTCCATCCAAATCCACTACTCCCTGTCACTCCTCCTGCTTTCTGTTAGGTCTGCTGTCCCCACCTCCCCTCAATTCATCCTGCCTCTCCCCCTCTGAGTAGCTACAGGGTTGTCATCCCTCTAAAATCCATGTCTTAGTCCATCCCCTTATGTTCACCCCATCACTCACATTCTTGCTTCTCACCCCCATGGCAGTGTCAGTGGTTGGGGCTCAGCAGTGAGAACGGTTGCCGACTCCTCACTCAGCACCATCCTCAGAGGGCTGGGTAGCTCCTTATTTCCTGATGCTCACATCTCCCATGGTTGACTAGCAGGTCTCTGTCACTCTGGTGTGTGTCTTCCATGGGTCACCCCTTGGCCAGCAGTTCTCTCCCTTCGGTAAATCTCAGATGCACAGCTCCCTGGGCCCAGGGTGGAACAGGGAAGGTGTGGGTGTGGGGGCCACGGATTGAGTCACTCAGGCTGGTCCTTCTTGGCCCAGATCTCCCTTACCTAAGCATCTATCCCAGTCTGATGCACCCCTTGGTTAGGAAGTCTCCCCCACATTAGTGAGCATATGTCTCTGGGAAACGCTTTCCCAACAGCCGGTTCACACATCATTTTCCTCTCCTTTTTCTATCACGTGTGTCTCCCGTTGTTGATTTTCACATCTCCAGTTTGTAGTTTGCATCTCCCTTTCCATGGATAGCATTTCTGTCTTCTCTGGCCTCCACCCAGGTGTTTACACAATGCTTCCCCCAGTGACCCCTGGAGCGTCTATCCAGTGGGCCAGGGAAGGATGCTTGCCAGGAGAACGGAGCTCCTCTATTCTGTAACTGCAAGGGGGTCCTAGGCCCTAACTTGTCCCCCCTCACAGCCCCTCCCCACTCCCCCAGGTAGATGGCCCCCCAAGGGCAGGCCCTGCGGACACCCCTCCCTCCGGCTGGCGGATGCAGTGCCTAGCGGCAGCTCTTAAGGACGAAACCAACATGAGTGGGGGAGGGGAGCAGGCCGACATCCTGCCGGCCAACTACGTGGTCAAGGATCGCTGGAAGGTGGTGAGTGAGTGACCAGCGGGTAGAGGGAAGGGCGGGGGTCGGACGGGAGGAGAGGATCTGGAGACCTGTTAAAACAGGTGCCCTCGGCGCCCCTACCCTTAGAGGGAGGTGCCCCTAAGCTTATTTGCATACGGCTTGCAGGTCAATATTTTGCTTACACTTGCGGACAATCGCTTTCTCCCGGTGCCCTCTCTTCAGCCCTGCAATCTCTCACCCCTTTCCCGGCTAGGTCACGTTGGTCGGGCCCAGCCTGGAACAACTCCTGGTTGGATGTTGGAGCAGGAGCCGCAGAGCGCGGTGTGGGGAGGAGGGCGGGGATGGGGGAGGGGGCTCTCCCTCTGCTGGACCTTGGAGAAGGGCAGTGAGTGAGCCCCTCCTCTTCCGCAAAGGACAGAAAAGCTGGGTTGGGGAAAGAGGCCCTGCAGGCGGTTCCCACCGCATCCGCACTCCATCTTCTCCAACCACCCTCCTCCCCTCACTGCTTCCTGCGGCAGGTGCAACACGCCGAGACTTCATCTCCCAGCGTGCCTTGCTTCTCCAGCCGAGGACTTCAGGCTGTTCGGCCTGCTGGGAGTTGTAGTCTGAACCTCCTCGGGGCTTTGGGCCTCCGACGGGAGGGCGACACGTGAGGGTTGAGGCTAAGGCAGTGTAGTGTATGCTGAACGGACCTACTATAAATCAGTCCCTGTGCCACAGCCCCCCTTCCTTTCTGATGCTTGAGAGAGTTCTGATATCCTTTTTAATGGAGTTAGGATGATGTGGGGCAGAATTTGGGATGATAGTATGTGAGCTTGTGGGTCTGCATAGGGTGGAGGGAGGGACTCAGTTCACCAGCGGTGTGAGGTTGAGAGAAGATTGGGGCCTGGCTGCCAGCGGGTCTCCGATGGCAACAACCACAGAGTGGGCTGGTCCCCTAGTGGCCCAGGGAAAGTGGCAAAGATGGCAGCTTTATCAGAGATGTCTCTGGGACTAGGAGAGAGGTGAGGAGAGGGAGGGTGTTTGAAGGAGCCAGAGAGCTGAGGGAAGGGGCTGTCTATGTCCCAGAGAGGGAATTCCTGAGAAGGAGAGTAAGGGGACAGACATTGGAAGAGGAGGAGCCAGGGCAGTCAACAAAGGAATAAGTGTTCCTCCAAGACCCAACCCACACCCTACACTGGGGTGGGGCAGGTTGGAGGCAGGGGGACGTTTGCATTGAAGAGGTGAGAAAAAGAATATTCACACGCATACTGAGTTTGGGTTAGAACTCTCCTTTGCTTTTTGAGATGAGTGGAGAGAAGTGACAGAGCTGGTGGGGGGAATGGGGCAAGCCCTCAATCTTTGCCAGGGTGACCTCAATTTCCCCTCATTCCCTCCCCGGCCCCTGGAGAACTAGAGAGGGTGGGGTGCCAGATGCCTCCCCTCAGCCAGTCCCTAAACCAAGAACAAGTTGCCCAGATGGGCTGTGCTATGAGAAAATGAAGGTCAGTGGCACTAGGTGGAGTATTTAAAAATAATAACATTTTTTCTTTTTGAGGGGTGCCTCTCAGAATCAGAATATCAAACTATAATAACAATAAAACCTTAACATTTGTTTTGAGAACTTACTGTTGCCAGGCACTGTGCAAAATGCCTTCAGTACATTATCTCAACAACCTATGGAGTAGATACTGTTATTATCCCCATTTCACAAGTGTGGAAACTGAGGCACAGAGATGCGCTAACTTGCCAACATCCCATGACCAGTCAGTGGAACTGTCTGACTGTGGGGGCAACAGTCACCGAGCTATGAAGCTTCCCAAGAATTAGCCAGTCCAAGGATCAGGGTCATAGAGCTGAAGAAGAATTGTGAACAATGCTAGCCGGACTCTCTCATTTTACAGAAGGGGAAAAGCAGAGGCTGAGAGAATTTAAGAAACTCACCTCAGGTCACCTAGAGCTGGGCCAACAAACCAGGTTTCCTTTTTCCTAAGTGAATGCTGGTCCTGTTGTGTTGTATTTCTCCTGCTGTTTTTTTTGGGGGGGGGTCCTTTGACAGGGGTAGGGGGCTGTGAGAAAATGTAGGAGGGGAGGAATAGGGTCTGGTGCAGGGAAGGTGAGAGAACATTCCTTTTACTGGGCGGGGGCAAAGCTGTTCTATGACTTTGCTGGGCTTTGGGCACTTTTGCCTTCACAGGCCCCCTCCAACATAATAAAGTACTGAAAATTGCATTGTATGACTGCACTGGTATAAAGAGGAATCAATTAATATTATATAATACAATTTTTTTTACCCAAAAGTTCATTTGTTCCCCTTCTGATTTTAAAAGAAATTAAAACATTTTCATGGCCTCCTAAAAGCATTATTATGGTTACTGTGCCCGCTATGCTCCCCCACCCCGAAAGGTTCTGTAATGGGTGGCTAGGGGGTGAGGAGGGAACTAAAGAAGGAAAGATAGGTTCTGTTTGGAAATAAAGGTGGTAGAGAAATATCTTTTGGCACCCTGGGAAACTGGGGAGTAGGTTACAGATATATCTTGGCTACCCTGAGCCTTACTTATCATCTCCAGCAAGGATTTTGAAGACTGGCAGATCTGGGCTTGAATTTCAGCATTCACACTTATAATGCCAGTGTGGTCAGCCATCCCTGTAATACTGTGGTGAGGAGTGGGTTGTGCATCAGATTTCCTGGGTTTAAGTGAAACCTGGCTTTGCTACTTACTGGTAACATGAACTGGGCACGATACTCACCTCTCTGTGCCTTAGAAGTTTTTCTCCTGTGACCTTCCTCACCTAGCTGGCTAGAAGTATTTGCAGATGAGCTGAGGTGACATCTGTGAGTTGAGATGTGGTGGTTGTCCTCCCCCTCGCTCTTTCCTCCATGCTCCAGCAAAGTAAACCATAAAGAATCTAGAAGAAATTGATTCTCCCCTGATTTAAAGTTTCCCAGAGGAAGACATGCCATTGCTTCCTTTGAGTCTGCATCTGTCCCCTCCTCCCATTCTGAAAGTCTTCTAGAAATCTGACCTTAACTTTCATCTCAAGTAGACAAGGCATCCTGGTTTCTCACTGTTCTTCCTCCCTCCCTCCTCTTTCCTGGTCACAAGAACCCAACCAACCTTCCATTTTTCTCCTAAAATTTCCCTTATATCCTCTCTCTCTCTAGAGTAGCTTCAGTTGTAACCTGCTGGTGACTCCCAGTCCTCAGCTCTGCCCTGCCCCCATCTCCCTCCATTTCCATGTTTCAACCAACATTAAACATTTATGGGGCATCCGAGTGCTGAATAAATTCTAAAGGGAGGGCTGGGAGATGCAGGAGGCTCAGAGTCAGGAGTTTACAGGCTGGCTGATCAGAGCAGCCTCCATCCAATCATGAGCAAGCCCAGCTGTGGCTGGTGAGTTACAAGCCAACAGGACACAAGTTAGGGCTCTGGAAGATGCTCAGAGAGGGCAGGCCACCCATGTGGGGAGGTGAAAATTGAGCTGTGCATCTTTTTTTTCCCCTCCCATTGAGGCATTCTATTTGCACAAATTTATTACATCCGTAGAAAAAGAATCCCCAAATTTTCCCTGCTGGGTGTTTTTGTCTTGCTTCCTCATGGTTCATGATGCCAGATGAGGTTGTCAGTACACCACACTGACGGGATCGGAGTGGGTTATTCTGCCATTTTTCGAGATCTTTGAGTTGCACATCAAATATGGGGCTGATCACTCCACGCTTGTTTAGCCTGCCTGTGGGGTTCACGACAATTTTCCAAGCTCAGTGAGCATCGATGATTTCAAACTCACCAACGTAACTATGCTTCATCATCACAGTTAGAAACTGGAAATAACTTTGAAGCATGGCCTGATAAGAACCTGCCCTTCGCCTCTTTGCAGCAGTGTTAATGCTGTTGAGAGCATCAGCCAGGACCTTCACCTGTGTCATTATGGAGGCACAGACAGATGACAGAAAAGGGGTACATCTTTCTTAAACCAAATGAGTCTCAACTTAGAACTCAGGACCTTCTCCCCATCCCCTGATCATTGCCTGCAACAACCTCACTCTCCAAGACCCCTGGGCCCCTGACTTGAAATGACTTTTAATCCTGCCTCAAAACTCAGTTCTGCTTATCGGCCCTGGCGGACACTTCCTCCATCACAGTTCTGCCCTCTGCCTTTTCCCACTACCTGCCCTGGGGGTGCTGGAGGAGGAGGGACTGGAGGGTCAGAGCTCCACTACACTGCCTTCTGGGAATAGACAGATTTTTTTTTCTTCAAACCTCCATCCCCACCATATTCCTCCAGAGAGGAAGCTCTCTCTGGTTTTGGGCATCTGTCCTGGGGCCTTGGGAGTGATGTGAGCTTCAGCACGGGGCCAGGGCAGTGAACCTCTTTTGCTGAGTCCCCTGCCCCAAACACTCCCCTTGAAATGCTCTCTGCTCGTGGTGACACCTTTCAGGAGACTGCCAACCCTGGGAAGGGCTGGCCTCCCTGAGGGACCCACCTGAAGCTGCGAGGTTCTGAAAATTAGTTTTCCTTCTGGATGGAGGCTGCTCAGTCTGCGTGGGGGATGGGGAGATGGTGATATTTATTGTCCTTAAAAGGCTCACGACGGCCCATGATCTCTTCAGAATCCTGCATTGGCTTGTCTGCATGTCTCTGTAGCATCTCAGTTCTCACACCCTTTCCCACTGCCCACTCTGATGTCTGGCCCCGTGTGTGTGTGTGTGTGTGTGTGTACGGTTGTACACCTGTGGGCTGAGCTGTCTGTCTCCAGCACTAGGAGGGGAGGTAGGAGCACTGGTGTGTGGGGTGAGTTGGGACCATAGGGTCCTCCCCTTCAAGGACAGCCCCTGCCCCCATCAATGGAGGATGTGACCTAGCAATGGGTGGGATGGGAGCCGCTCAGTCTGATCCCTGTGTCCCCTATTTTCTCCCACCTGTCTCTGTAGCTCAAAAAAATCGGGGGCGGGGGCTTTGGTGAGATCTACGAGGCCATGGACCTGCTGACCAGGGAGAATGTGGCCCTCAAGGTGGAGTCAGCCCAGCAGCCCAAGCAGGTCCTCAAGATGGAGGTGGCTGTGCTCAAAAAGCTGCAAGGTGCGGGCCCAGGGCAGGATGGGAGGGAAGAGGTGATGGAGCCAGGGGCTAAGATGTGCTGGGGTAAGAGGCTGGGGGTGGTGGGAGGAGATGTGGTGCGGTGGAGGAAAGAGGTGATGGAGCCAGAGGCTGAGAGAGGTGATGGACGAAGGGAGATGGGACCAGAGTCTAAGAGCGATGATGGCCTTAAGTCAGCAGGAGGTGGGAGATGTGGTCCTGGGAGCAGGGCTGGGGGACCAGGAATCAAGAGTGCACCAGGAGCTCACCTTAGGGCTGGAAGTGAGCAAGGAGTAGGCGCTGGAAGACCCCTGTCTGTGCCCTCAGGGAAAGACCACGTGTGCAGGTTCATCGGCTGTGGCCGGAACGAGAAGTTTAACTATGTAGTGATGCAGCTCCAGGTGAGTACCCGTGGCCCATCCTCCCTTCACTCTCCCCCAAGAGCTTGGGTGGTGAGTCCTGGGGTGGTTTAGAGACTGTGACCCCAGGAGGAGGGGGGAGTGGGCACAAGCCTTTGCAGGCGAAGCTGGACAGAATGTCAGGGTGGTGGTGGTTGGGATGGTAGCTGAACTGGGCCCACCCCACCCCCACCCCAGGGCCGGAACCTGGCCGACCTGCGCCGCAGCCAGCCGAGAGGCACCTTCACTCTGAGCACCACGCTGCGGCTGGGCAAGCAGATCCTGGAGTCCATAGAGGCCATCCACTCCGTAGGCTTCCTGCACCGAGACATCAAGCCGGTGAGGGCTGCCCCCTCTCCAAAGCATACCGCCCACCTCCTCTCCTTCTCTTGGTCCCCTGGTTTCTCCTCCAGAACAGTGGTTGGGGCAGGGATAGCCTCTTCTACCTTTCCCCTCCCTCTGCTCTCCAACCCAAGCCCCATCTCCTCCTCTCCCCTACCTCCCAGGAGCACACACCTTGCCCACCCCTTGGCCATGCCCATGTCCTCCCCTCTGTTCTCTTCTCTTCCTCTGTCTCACCCCTGACCTAATAGTCCTTGAACCTGGAAAGGTGAAGGGGTTGGGGGAGGACAGAGGGACTGAAGGAAGGAGACCGAGAGAGCTGAGGCTCTGGCAAGTAGCTGACTTTGTGACATCTTGGATCTTGGTGTTGGAAAAAACCCTCCAATTTAAAGGGGTGAGGCCCAGAGAAGTTGGTTGAATGGCTCAAAGTCACACAGCAAGAATAATCCTGGTCTCCTGCTGCCTCAGAGAGAGGCAGTTACACTAAGCCATATGGCCCTGTGGGGAATCCCAAGGATTCCAAGCCTGGTAGACCTTGGCTGGGTCATCACTTGCTGCGTGATCTTGGAGAGGCCCCCAGTTTGCCCTTCAGTTTCCTCCGCTCTAAAATGAGGATAACCACACTTGTCCCTCAGATGAGGTTCCATGACCTGCTGTCCATGGTGATGTTTTACTCTCACGTGAGTGTACGTGGGGCAGAGGGTCCCTCACCAGAGCTGTTTCTTGGCGCCCCCTGAGGTGGGCTAGGTGGGCTTGGAGCCCCACACTCACAGCTACTGTCTTCCTCCAGTCAAACTTTGCCATGGGCAGGCTGCCATCCACCTACAGAAAGTGCTACATGTTGGATTTCGGGCTGGCCCGGCAGTACACCAACACCACGGGGGACGTTCGGCCCGTGAGTACCGCAGCTCACGGGAATCATGGCCTCTCGCCCCATCCCCTGATCTAGGGACCCTCCACCAGTTTTTCCTGCAGCTGCCTAGACAGGCCAGGCCTTGTGCTCAGTGTGACCCAGTGCTGGGTCCACACTTGGCCCATCCCCTCTCCACCCTGGCCTGGGCTCTTGGTGGATGCCACATCCATGCCCTGTGGTCTGTCTGCCAACCCTGATCAGGGATGGATGCAGGGGCAGTGAGTAGGGGCAGGAGTCAGGTTTAGGATTGGGGTTGGTGTGTCACGCTTGCTCCTGATGAGGCGCAACATGGGGGGTGGGGGTCGGATGGGAGACTGTCAGGGTTAAAGCAGGCAGAGTTGGGCTTGGCAAGCAGGGTTGAGATGTGGCCGAGGTCAGGGGCAGCAGGTGACGTTCCTGGTGGTGTTCTCCCCTCTGCAGCCTCGGAATGTGGCCGGGTTTCGGGGGACTGTCCGCTATGCCTCAGTCAATGCCCACAAGAACCGGGTGAGTGGCAGGGCCGGGACTGAGGTACATGGGGACAGTAGGGACACAGGTTAGGAGCAGAGTACACTGCTGAGAAAGAGGGCGGGTCAGGGGCTGGAAGCTGCCCCCCCAGAGACCCTGATTGGAAGAAGGCTCCACTGACGTCTCCCCTTGAGGTCACCTTCTGCCTTGTTTTAGGGGATGCCCTCCTCTCTGTCCACATCATAGATCTTTGTGGGGTGAGAAAGCACACACAAACATTTTGACCATGAGATTCTGTGTGTTGGTGGGGCAGGAATGGAACCATGGCTTCAGGGAGACCCCAGCTCTGCCCACAGGGGTCTGGGTGTCAGGCCCCTTGACTGGTGGCCCTCAGTGGAGGGTCAGCCCCCCACTCCCAGGGAAGGACCTGAGAGCCGTGGGTGACCCCCTCCCCGCCCCCGCCCCCAGGAGATGGGCCGCCACGATGACCTATGGTCCCTCTTCTACATGCTGGTGGAGTTTGCAGTGGGTCAGCTGCCTTGGCGGAAGATCAAGGACAAGGTGAGTGCCGTGCAGCTGGGTCTGAAAACAGGGAGAGGGTGTAGGGCAGCTGGGTCTCCATCTTCCTGTGCTCTCTTATCTCCAGGAGCAGGTAGGGATGATCAAGGAGAAGTACGAGCACCGGATGCTGCTGAAGCACATGCCCTCTGAGTTCCACCTCTTCCTGGACCACATCGCCAGCCTCGACTACTTCACCAAGCCTGATTACCAGGTGGGGGCCTGCCTGCCAGTGCACCCACAACACCTCTCTGTGGGTGACTGTCTCCAGCACCACTCATCCTGCTGAGGCCCCACACCCCTGCCAGCTTGGCCCTGAGCACCTCCCCTGGTCTTCCAACTGCATGAAACTGTTTTGTGCTCTTTGTAAACAGTAGTCACAGCTAAGATTTATCAAGAGCTCATGCTGTTCTCAGTGCTTTTCCTGCATTAACTCATTTAAGCTTCAAAACAAGCCTTTGGTGATGTTGCGTGTTCCTTATGTTATTACTCCAGCACTTAACAAATAATGAAGCCAAGTGCTTTGAGGTACTTCACATGAAAACTCTGCAGGAGGCCAAGTGGGATGATTGTGCCCATTTCATAGATGCGGAAACTGAGGCCCGAAAGCCTGGTTAGGAGCAAGGCGGGGCTCAGGCACATCTGACTCCAAGTCCAGTGCTCTTTCCAAGGCACCATCACCACACCCCAAAGGGACCCACTGACCCTGATCGGGGAATGGGGGAAACATCAGCAATCTTCTGCCCAGGATCCACTACATGCCAGGCATGAGGTACACACTGTGGGAGCAGAGATAGTGTCAGGCCCATAGTGGGCCCGCAGTGAAAGAGGTCCTGCCAGCACAAAGAACGCACTGGAGAGGGCTAAGTCAGAAGTGGAAAAGTCTAGGAGGCCACCAGAGATACTTCACCATGGCAGTAGGGCCCTCGTTCAGTCCTCAGACCACATAGCTCCGAGCACACACTGGGCTGGGCCCTGTGCTGGCTGCTGGAAATGTAGCGGTGGTAGATAGGCAAGTGAACAATTCAAACTGTTGCTCTGTGCCCAGTCCCGAATCTGTGTGGGCAGGGGAATCAGGGAAGGCTTCAGAGAGAAGAGGATGCTGGGAAAGGCACTGCAGGCAGAGGAAGCCGCCTGCAGAGGCATGGCCGCAGGTGGTGGGTTTGGGGAACTACTGCTGATGCTTCTGCTGAGGTGGTGGAGATGGCAGAGGAGGCTCGGGATGGTCATCAGGAAACAGACTCTGAGGGCTTGTGTCCAGCCAGTGGGGCTTAAGATGATAATTTGCATGCTTATTTGCATATCATGTGCATGTTTTCATTTAAAATCAATGTGCCCTTCTCCTTCCAATACCTCCTCTTGGCCCATCCCTGACCTGGAAGGTCCCTCTCTTCCCCCTGCAATCCCAGCAACTGCCCCCTCCTCCTGGCTAGCCCCGGGGTCACCTCTCTGTCCTCCCGCCACCCCCACCCCTGCAGTTGATTATGTCAGTGTTTGAGAACAGCATGAAGGAGCGGGGCATCGCCGAGAATGAGGCCTTTGACTGGGAGAAGGCGGGCACAGATGCCCTTCTGTCCACAAGCACCTCCACCCCGCCCCAGCAGAACACCCGGCAGACAGCAGCCATGTTTGGGTGAGTCTCCGTGGGAGGTGCGACGGCCAGTGAGGGGGCAGACGACCCCTGCCCCAAAGTGTCACCCGAGAAGCCAGCCCTCTCTTCCTCTTCCTACCTGGACACAGCTGGCTGTCTCTCCTATTCTTGGTGCTCAATGGCAGGGTTCTTGAACCTTAGGAAGTTCTGCCACAACTCCACGTTCAACCTGGGGATGGGGTGGGCGTCCTTATTTGGAGTTTTGACCTTACTGGGGAGCATGGAGCCTGAGTGAGATTCCCCAAGCTCCAAAGTTTGTCTGATGCTCAGCGATCACACGTGTCCATTGGTGAACAGGTCTTGAGCCGCAGCACCAGGCCCTGTGGGGGATTAGAGAAGAAACTTGCAGCCCCTGCCCTCAAAGTGCTCTCAGTTGAGTCTGGGATGTTTGTAATCAATGGGTCAGTGATTTCAGACCCATGTGACAAGTACAAAGACTGAGTGGCCCATAGAGGGGCCAGGGTGAGAAGGGCTCCCCACCCCATGCCGGGAGCGAGCCAGGGGACATGTTGGGGAGACTCAATAGGATTTGCCAGGATGTTGTGTGCCTGGGTCTGTAAAGACATGGCTTGAGGAACTCCAAAGTGATTCTTTGTTTAGATCCATTTTCTTGGTCTCCTGGAGGCCGATAAGTGAACTGCAGTAGGGAGCTGGCAGGGCGGGAAGGCAGTAGGGTCTCCTAAATAAACAGAACCAGGTGGTGCCATGCCCACCCCTCAGGCCTCTGCCCACCTGAAGGTGGTCTGGTCCCAGCGGCTTTGCAAGCCTGGGATGGAGACTGGACTGCGGACAGCACCACCCTGCTGGGGCCTCACCTGTGCCCACTCCCATGGGTGGTGGGTGGTCTCCAGGGCCGCCAGTGGAGGAGGGCACCCCTGCCACCTTTGCCCACGGCCCCCTCCTGGCTTCCACAGGGTGGTCAATGTGACACCAGTGCCTGGCGACCTGCTCCGGGAGAACACTGAGGATGTGCTGCAGGGCGAGCACCTGAGTGACCAGGAGAACGCACCCCCAATCCTGCCTGGGCGGCCCCCTGAAGGGCTGGGCCCCAGCCTGCACCTTGTCCCCCACCCCGGGGGTCCTGAGGCTGAAGTCTGGGAGGAGACAGATGTCAACCGGAACAAACTCCGGATCAACATCGGCAAAGTAACTGCAGCCCAGGAGAGGGGATGGCGGGTGGCGACCTTCCCCTACCTGCTGGCTCCCCACCCACGGGCTCCTCCCTGTTCCTCCATCTACCCTGTGGCCCTGCCTCCCTGGCCTCCTGGTCCCATCGCAGGATCTCTGACATCCTGGTTCTCGGACCTCCCTCTGTCTCCTTTACCCCGAGAAAACCACCTGATCCACAGCTGCCCTGTCAGCCCCAGCTCACGGAACTCCCCTCTCCTGCAGACCCCTTGTGTGGTGGAGGAGGAGCAGAGTCGAGGTGTGGGGGTCCCCAGTTCGCCAGTGCGTGCCCCTCCAGACTCACCAACAACTCCAGTCCGTTCTCTGCGCTACCGGAGGGTCAACAGCCCTGAGTCGGAGAGGCTGTCCACAGCGGATGGGCGGGTGGAACTGCATGAGAGGAGGTGGGTCTGGGGCTAGGGGGATGGTCCAGGGCCCCTGGTCCCCTGGACCTTCACAGGGCTGGTCTGGAGGAAAGGTCAGATACAAGGCAGGACTTTAGAGTCAGTGACAGGAGCTGGATGAGGGGTAGGGGATGGAGAGGACCCAGCTCAGGCCACAAAGGCGGGTGGGTGTGGGGCAGGTGTAGGAGGGATGGGCTGGCTCCCTAGGCCCAGGAGGAGATGAGGGCTGAAATGGGAGGTGGGTGTGCTTCCAGAACCTCCTTCCCTAGGGACTAATTACAGATGTCTCAGAGCAGCTGCTGAGGCTCCCTTCAGCTTTGGGAAGGGGCCTGGGAGAAGGGTTTGGGGAGTGCTTGAGGAGGGGACAGACTAAATTTTGGGAATCAGGGCTCAGGGATCTGAATGTCAGGGAGGGACCTGGTTGGTGGGAAGGAGTATTGAAGAGTTTAGAGCCAAAGTGAGCCTTTAGTAGGGGTGAGAGTGTGGGTAGTTGACCCTGGGTGGCTAATGGCTGCCAGGTACCAAGGGCTGGAATCTCCCCTGAGATCTGGTGGGTGGGACAACCTTGGGTGGGAGAAATGTCCCCACCCTCCCTTGGCTCTAGGTGGGTCTTGACCCCACAGCAAGGCTGGTGCCCTCTCTGCACCTGGAAAGTTATTTCTTCCTGAGGCCCAGCCCTGGGTAGGGGGTCCTTTCCACGCCCACACCCCCTCAGGCCCCACCTCAGCCACAGCCCCTCCTCTGGTTTCTGCCGCAAACTCACTCCACCTCTGAGATAGAGCACAGCGCCTCTTTGGGGTGTGGAGACGCCCAAGCCAGGGCGCCCCTGTGCCAATTCCTGTGGTGACCCCAGGACAGAGGGACGCAGGCCCTGTCCTGAGGGAGCCGACAGCCCTCACACACACTCACATTTACACACACCACACGCACACGCTCACCGCACTCACATTTACACACACGCTCACAGGTTGAACTACCTGGGACTGAAGACCACATTTTCATCCATGGGTGCCCAGAGGGCTCAGGAGACAGGGAGGAGTGAGGAAGGGCAGTCTGGAAGGGCCCTGAGTGGAGAAGAGAGGTGAGAAATGCTCTCCACAAAGACGAGCCCATTGGTTTGGCTCCGAGTGAATCCTTGTTTCAGGGACAGTGGGGAGAGGAGAGGGTCGAGGAGAAGGTTCGGGATCTCTGGCAGGAAGAAGGGTTTAGGGGGTGGGGTTCTGGGGCACTTGGGACGTGAGAACATATGAAGCAGATGGGATTGGGGTGTCCCACCTCCTCCCCCATCTTCAGCCCCTCTCTTCCTCTCGCATCCTCTCTCCTTTATATCCATCAAAACTGTGCTTTCAGGAAAGGAAGTGATACCAGTCACTTACTGGGAGTATGAATATGAGACCTGGGTGGCCTCCCTCTGGGGGTTTTATCTTAAGCCTTATGAACAAATTGATAGAAATGTTGTATAGATTGGAGGTGGCAGGTCCCACAGAGGCCGGGGTGGGAGGATGCTGAGAAATCCCCACAGCTGGCTTTGAACTGCAGCCCTTCCCTCCCAGGCTTGATGCTGGTGAGGCTAGAAGTCAGTCCCCTGCCCACAGCCTGAGTGTGAGCGAGGCCTCCATGGTTCTCAGTGGGGAACCCTGGCATTTGGAAGGGGACAGTTCTTCCTTGTGTGGCATCCTACAACCAGAAATACTCTCACCTTGGGGTCGGTACACCCCAGTTGAGAACCTCTGCAAGTAACGTGAGGTTCATAGCACAGGCTGAGATAACAAGGAAAGAGATGTCTCCTGGTAGGATCTGCATCCCAGAGGCAAAAAGGCAGAGGGGACCTAGCCCCTGCTTGACAGAGCTTGCAGCCTCCTGGGGAGGCAGATTTGTAAACACACATGTGCTCCGCTCTGTGACAAGAGGGGACACAAGGAGTGCCGAGAGGGCAAACTAACCATCGATGCAGGATGGAAAGGCTCCCTGCAGAAGAGGACACCCAAGCTGGGTCAGAGAGCAAAGAGTGGAGGACAGACTGTGTGGAGGGAGTGGCATTTATAAAGGCACAGAGGTGTAAGCAATTTGGAGAAAAGCAAGCAAATCTGAGATGGATCTGGCTAAGGGAAGGGGGAAAATAGGCCTTCAGCTGACCACCAGGGGCCTTGGATGCCAACTAAGGCATGTGGACTTTGTCCTGGGAGTCACTGGAGTGGGTTGGGAGTGATAAAACCAGTCAAGCAGGCCTGCAGAGTAGTGGTAGAAGAGGCTAGAAAAGGGCCAGGGAGCCTGTGTGGTATGGGAGCCCTGGCTGGGCAAGCATCAAGTTACCTTTAGGAAGATTCAGCTTCCTGGAGGGTGATCTAGAGGACAGCGTTCCCTTGGGCACAGGAACCAGATTTTACTTTCTGCATATATTTCTGGAACACAGTAAGCATTCAAAAATATGTGTTGATTGAATGAATGAATAAATGAATAAATGAGATCTTTGCAAGGAGTGAGGTTGGAGGGTGACAACCCAGCAGGTGGCAGGGCCTGGTCCAGGGTGGGAGAAGTGTAGTGGTCAGGAGGTCTCAGGCATCATGCTCCACCCTGCCACCTCCTGAGTGTCACTGGGGAGTCCAGAGAGGCCAGGCACTGATCTCCACGTGGGGTGGCTTTGCAGGTCACGCATGGATCTGCCTGGCTCACCCTCACGCCAGGCCTGCTCCTCACAGCCAGCCCAGATGCTGTCAGTGGACACGGGCCATGCCGACCGGCAGGCCAGTGGGCGCATGGACGTGTCAGCCTCTGTGGAGCAGGAGGCCCTGAGCAACGCCTTCCGCTCGGTGCCACTGGCCGAGGAGGAGGACTTTGACAGCAAGGAGTGGGTCATCATTGACAAGGAGACAGAGCTGAAGGACTTCCCCCCAGGGGCCGAGCCCAGCACATCGGGCACCACGGACGAGGAGCCCGAGGAGCTACGGCCGCTGCCCGAGGAGGGCGAGGAGCGGCGGCGGCCAGGGGCAGAGCCCGCCGTCCGGCCCCGGGGACGTGGCATTCATACGCTGGCCGAGGAGGACCTGCGGCCGACAGCCCAGCCCCTGCCACCCCAGCTGAGCCAGGCCGATGGCCGGTCAGAGACATCGCAGCCCCCTAGCCCGGCAGCCCTTCCCACTCGCCATTGCACTCGGGACCCCGCCCTCGACGGAGAGAGTCGGATCCCACAGGCCCGCAGAGACAGGTAAGGTTGGGCTTGCACCCCATCCCCCACCCCTGACGCTCACAGTCCTGGCATGTAGTCCCGTGTGCTCCTTGAGGGCTGCCAAGTTGCAGCTGGGATAAATGGAGACAGGTTTACAGATCTGAAACCATGTTTGAGGTGGGAGGCAGGCAAGGCTTAGGAAGTATCCTCCCAGTTCTGAGTTGAGTCTTGCATTCTGGGCAGTGTCAGCCAGGTGACAAAGCAGCAGAAAGACCTCCCAGGCCAAGCAGACAGGCTATGCAAAGGCCTGGAGGCGGCAATCAGAAAGCACTGCGCTGCTTGCTCTTTGCAGCAGATGAGGCTGTGAGGTGCGTCCTGGGGCCTCTTCCTGGACGGACTTGGGGCCAAGCTAAGGGGTTGGGGCTTGATTCTGAAGGCTTGGTGAGCTACTGTGGGCTTTTAAGTCGGGGTGTGGCATGATTATGTTGGTACTTTTGAATGATCCCTCTGGCTGCTGTGTGGAAAATGGATTGAAGGGGACAAACTATCAGCAGGAAAGATACACAGCAGGTGCCAGCAGGAGAGTGCCCTGGTGGCTTAGACCAGGGTGGAGGCTTTGGCTGCGGGGCAGGGTGGATGGAGCCAGACATGCTGGGAAGATGACTGAGGGAGCTGTGATGGAGCAGAGGGGGTCTCTGTGGATGCCCAGCATTCTGGGTGGACAGCAGTGCCCTCACTGAGTGGCTTTGAAGGGAGCATTGACTCAGATGTGGACATGATGACCTCGCGGTACCTGTGGGATGCGCACTCTGGAGGCATCAGGACTCAGGAGAGAGATCTTTGCTGGAGATACAGATTTCGGGGTCTTCTAGTCCACAGGGGTGGTTGATGTCACCCAAGAGGACTATGTGAGGTGGGGAGAGCCAAGGGTGAAGGCAGAGCTGGGAAACTCACGCCTGTGTTGAGAGGAAAGGAAGCCCTTGAGAAAGACTGAGCTAAAGGGGCCAGAGTGTGGGACAGTGGGGAGAGTGCTCTCACTCTCAATCAGGAGGGAGCTGCTGAAAGGTGGTGAGGGCAGCAGGGAGGGACAGAAGGTTTCTTGTGATCAGAGAAGGCTCCATGTGGGGGAGAGAGGTGCACCCTGTGAGTCAGGACACTTGGACACTTGAAGTCAGGGCAGGAGAGACCCTGAATTGGGCACAGAGGTGGGCATGTTGGGGGTCTTGGGAGGACCTGGTCAGGCTGCAGTGGCACTTTCTCCTGTGGGAGGACTGAGGGATGAGGCTGGAAGGGCAGGGAGGGCCCAGGCAGCGGCTGCACCATAAATGCAGCATGTCATGGTATTTTGGTTATTTTCTTCTGACAAAGGTGGGGTGTCAGAATAGTCGGAAGGCCACTGGTCTGGCCTGGCTTCTCTGTGTGGGGCAGAGACTGACCTCTGACCCAGGAAGTGGCGCCAACTCTTACCCTGGGTGCTAAATGGGGTCTGTGTCCCCTCTGAGGTCTGGAGAGAGCCAAGGAGATGATGCTGGAGGGCTCAGGGGCTGTGCCGCGTTCCACTCAACTGTCCCACGTCGGGGGCATGCATGCAGGAGGCTCTGGGAGATGCCAAGGTGCAGGGCCGGGGCCAGTTCTGCTGTGTGCCCAGATTGGGAGGCCTGGCCGGGAGCATGGAGATGCCCTGATGGAGGCAGCTTGAGGTCTTCAGGCCTTCAGTATGCATCCTGGCCTTGTCCTGGATGCTGGAAAATTGGGGGCTCAAAAAGTGGGGACCATGAGCCCCCACCCAGAGGGGTCCTAGCTAGCCTGAGCTGGAGGCTCAGCTGGGGCAGGGTGTGGGCAGCATGGCTGTGTTGCTGATCTGGACACTGTTCCCACCAGGACCAGCACTAGGTAAGCAGAAGAAGAAGCCAGATCCATCTGGGGCTCCCTTGCTCCCCTCTTATCCATTCATTCATCACCAGTCATCCCACACTTATTGAACATCTACTCTATGCTGGGGACTGGAAGCATCAGAGATCATACATACAATAGGTGGTGCCCGCCGCAAGTGCAGAGTCTAGGAAGGGAGACAGATGATGGTGGTGTAGGGTGAAGAGAAAGCCCCGAATTAAAGTCAGGAGGCCTGGATTCTGGACCTGGACCTTCCGGTCCCTTCCTGGTAACGATAGGCCAGCTGGGTCTCAGAGTTGGGGGACTGAGCTATCCAGGCAGTTTTTCTCACATTCAGATTCCCACCCTTGTCCTGAGAGTCAACCTCACATTGGAAAGTTCCAGCCACAGGGGTGAAGAGAGATTTGGTGGAGCAGGCACAAGTCTATTGTACAGTCAGTCTTGGCTCAGGTCCTGCTTGTGACAAGAGTAGGCACTGCCCATCTCAGCAAGCAATGAGTTGTGTGTGTGTGTGTGTGTGTCTGGAGTGGGTGTTAGGTGTGTGTGTGCCTTGGTTTCCCCACAGTGTACAGAAGTGAGGTTGGTCAGCATTCTGTGACCTCACGTGTACTTTTCTGTGTCAGCCTACCCTAGAGTGTGCATCAGTGTGTGGGTGTGCCCATGTGTGCATGCATGCATGTGGGTGCACATGTCAGAGTGTCTGTGCAGAGCGTGTAGTGAGTCTGCAAGTGTGTGAACCAAGGAAGCACAGAACGGCACAGCTGGCAGCATAATTATCATAGTGATCATTCTAATAAGGATATAATACCTGGCACTGTTCTCGGCACTTTCACGTTCTACCCGTGGACTCCTCACAACAATACTGTGAAGAGGCCACCCCCATTGAAAAGACAAGGAAACTGGGGCTCAGAGGAGCTAAGTGTTTTGCCCAGGGTCACCAGCTGCAGAGTGGTAGAAGTGGGTTTGAATCCAGGCAGCTGGCTCTAGGGCCATGCTTGGAGCCACACAGTCTGAGGTCTGTGTGTTTAGGAGGGGAGCAAACACAAGCCAGAGAGAGCAGATGATTTGCGCAGGGTCAGAAAGAGCCATTGTGTGTGTGTGTGTGTGTGTGTGTGTGTGCGCGCGCGCACGCGCCCACTGGCTGGGTGGTGTCAGCAGCTGTGCCTGTGGGCATGTGGCCTCTGTGTGTGTCTGGGTGTGATCACATGGGGCAGGACACGTTTTGCTGAATATTTCGGGACAGCAGGGTGAAGCCGAGCCCTTTCTTCATCAAGGGCAGGGGAAGAGGGAGGAATGGACTGGTGTAATTTTTGCCTTCTTTTGGTTTGGAAAGAGTCCTGAGCCCAGCCTGGGTGGGGCCTCCTAAACCTGGCCACACACTGGAGTCATAGTTTGTGGAACTCCCCTTCTTCCCGTAACTAGATTAAGTGGCTCAGGGCAGGCAGGAAGTCTCTATAGGGAGCCCACCCTGCTGCCTTTCTGCAAGGAATCCCTTCCTAGACCCAGCTCTGTCTGCTCTGTCTGATGTGGGAACTTCCTCTTAACAGCAATCATTAAAGAAATGAGCACCTGCAACTCTGTCCCCTACCCCCGTGGGGAGCAGGGACCAGGGACCAGGATAATGTGGAACCAGGCAGTTTTAGAGCATCTACTATTCTTTGGTGTGCATCCATAATACTTTTAACTTTTCGGTGGGCATCCATAATACTTTAACTTTTTTTCTTTACACACACCTCATTCTCTTCTCTCAGGAATTTAAGGTGCAAAGTAGAAGTGGCTGGAAAAGCTAGGGCAGAGGGGAAAGCAGTGGACAGAGTATGTGATTTGGGGGAGGGATGTTTACCCTCCTTTGCTGGTTGTCTCTGGCTGATAACCCACCAGGTCAACATTCCCTGAGTACATGGACATTTGTTTGGCATCCCCTAGAGCATTTCTCTGCCACGTGTGCTAGAGGCTGGGGGACAAAGATGAATAAGGCTTCACAGTTCTGCCCTTTAGCAGCTCACAGTCAAGGGGCAGGGGCCAAGCGGGATGGAAAACACATGGATGTTTACAGTCAAAGACCATAGGGAGATAACAGAGACCTTTGCTAGGAACAGGGAGCCAGTCTTCCTGGGAAGCTGTGGTGGTCTCACAGAGGTGACACTTCAGAGGGGCATTGAGGACAAGGAGGTGGGCTCAGTGGTGCCTGGCCTGCAGGGACAGGAGCACGCTGGGATTAAATTCCTCTGGCAGTGGACCAAACTCTGCCTGAGACGTTAAACTCAAGCTCCCAATATGTGCTGTGAAAGGGGCGGTGGCAGCTGTGGGTATCTCTGTCCCTTGTATCCCAGGTGGGCCTTACACCCCTAATCCTCAATGCAGAGAGGACCAGTTCAGAAGGATCCTAGGCATGGCCAAAAAGAAGGTAGAAGGGGAAGTCTGATGAGGGCAAAGACAATCCTACAGAATAGTCTCTCTCCTCCCCTCTCTGCTGGAGGTTCCATGCTGGGTTCCTGTGCCCCAATTTGATGTCCTCAGGGGCCCCACCCCCTCAGTCCTCTAGCAGCTGACCCAGCCAGTCCTCACTGCCCCCACTAACGCTATGTAAACTGGCTTCAGTCCCAGGAAGAGCTAAGGGTCAGGATGAGAGAGGTCTGGTGACAGACAGCCAAGTCACCATTTCCATCCCCAACATGTCTGGGACACTCAGCTCCACTGTCCCCTTTCCGTCTGCGGGCACGAGGGCAGGAGGGCACAGGCAGGATTCTTCCCAATGGTGGCCAAGTGAGGCAGGCAAGCCCTGCCACATGGCTCAAACTTGGAGAGGACAGGGAAAAAGCCACCTTGGAGAAATGATTTCATTTGGCCCCTCCTCCCCCCGAGTCCTCTATCCCTTTTTTCATTCTCAAGAGTGATTTAAAGGATAATAAAACAGCTCACACAACAGAGCATTTACACCATGGCCAGTACTATTCTAAGAGCTCTGCGTGTTATAACATCTAATCTTCGTAACAGTGCTAAGAGGTAGGAAACATAGTTACCCAATTTTACAGATGAGGAAGCTGAATCATGAAGAAGTAATTTTCTTGAGGTCACCAAGGTAGTAAGTGGTGGAGTTGGGATTCAAACGCCAGTTAGTCAGATTCCAGAGTCCTACCTTTGTG